CATGAGGATTTTGCATGTTTGTAAACCCCGTTCCAAGTGGAACCAGCAAAGTTTTAGCACGCTACTTTGGTTCATGCTATTTTCTCTATTTTAGCACGAATCGTGCATTTTTATTATGACTTGTATGATTATGATCTTTTCTAGTGAATTCCAACAAATCTTTGTTGATTTCACTGCAAAAATAACAGCTATTATGTCTTAGTTCATTTTGTGCTGCTATAAAAAAAATATCACAGTCTGGATCATTCATAATGAACAGAAATTTTTGGCTCATAGTTCTGGAGGCTCAGTATCAATATGCCAGCTTCTGGGGAGGACCTTCTTGCTGTACTGTGCTGTAAAGGAGAAGGGGATGCAGAGGACAAGGGAGAGGGGAAGCGCGTGCTTTACTGTATAAACCACTGTAGTTATTGTTACGATGGGAGCAATGGTTTCAAGATACTAGTTTTATAGATGACTGTTGTAAAATCTCTACAGTAATGGCATTATTCCCTTTATGAGGGTGGAACCCCCAGATACCTTGCATTAAGCCCCGCCTCCAATACCGCTGGTTTAGAGATCAAGTTACCCACACATGAACTTGGGGGGACACAATTAAACCATAGCACCTTCTAATGACTAAGGAAAAATTCACATCTTGAAGCCAGTAGCTTCACCACATGATTTCCCAAGTTCAGATTTAGAGATTCTTAGGCATGAGTACTTCAGCTCATTCTATGATTTTTCACCCTTATTTCAGTTGGTGTTCACTGGAGCCCTGATCTTTCAGGACTTGGAAATGAGAATGTACTTTCCTTTGAAAGTTGAACTACCTAATTAGCACAGAATGGATCAAATCAGAGATCCTGAAACTCACTTTGAAAAGAGACACTTCTTGGCTAGGGCCAGACTTACTTGAAAGTAAAGAACAGGGTGGCTATTCAGCTATGGAAGTATAGATGAGGGGAGGTCATCGGTGCAAAAGTGAACACTGGTCATTTAGGCCCTGGATAAGGAGGAGTCTTGTCCAACAGCTATCCAATGTGGTTAGTCCCACTGGCAAGGTCATTCCCACTGGGCATTGGCTCTCTCAGGCTGTGTCAGTATGATACTATCAAACCACCTCTAATTCCCGTGGATTGCTTTTCCCATTACAAAGGACATTCCGTGCACATGTCCTCAGAAAGAGTAAGTTTATCATTTCCAATCAAGTTTGCCTATCAACATGGTGACTGTCAATATCAGTTCATAAATTATCATCCAGGGATTATGTGACTTTTTTGAGATTGTTGAATATAAGTCCTATTCTGAACAATGCAGTTTTCCTCAGTGTACGGTTACATCAGATTTCTGAGTATGTAGGGCGGAGGGTGCTTTTCATAGATCACAGGAAACTCGCAAGTATAATGGAAACTCTTCTGGTACCATTTCTATATCACTGCATGCTTTTTACGCCAATCATCTATAATTCTAGTGTATTGAAACCATTGCTCCCATCATAATAATAATTACAGTGGTTTATATAGTAAGGCATCATACTTGTTATAGGTTCAAAATCTGGTTCTACCTTCTATCAGGGATATGATCTGGGGCAAGTGACCTTATCTTTCTGGCTGTCAGTTTCTCCGTATGTAAAATGGGGCCAGTAAGACTCAGATATCAGTATTGTTGTCAGGAACAAGTGGATTCCTATCATGCAGCAAGTGTTCTTATTAGGGAAAGATTGCCCCAAACCTACTTTAGAAATATGCTCTTTGGCTGGGTCCTTCCAGTGGAAGGTATATCTCAGTATTTCATTTCTTACCCACCTAATATGAAGGAAAGAAAAGAAATACAATATCTTATAATTAGGAAGGGCTCCAAGTTTCTTAGAACAGAAAGACTTATCAGCTTTTCAAAAGTGATTTTGGATTTTATTGTAATTTTATTGTAATTTTTCTGTCAAAATTCTCTGACTCAAATTCTCTACATTCAACATTAAAGTTTTCTCAGAATATCTTTGGAACCTCTTCACTTTATAATATGTTCCTTTATAATATGCTCCAGGAAGTCCAAGAGAATATATACTTAGGACATGATCTAAGGAATTTGGTCCAAAATTAGAAGGTATGGCTGTGGTGGAGAGCACTGGCTGTCATTTCTTTCCTCCAAGGCTGACAAGGAGGAATTGATTTCAGGTCCTTGCAAAGTGTCTTTCATTTCAGCCATACTGTTGCTTGGTCTTGACTTCTTTGTCTTTGATAGAGTACATGAACAGAAGCAAATAAGAACATAGATAACCTGAATACTTTAAAGATTTATTATACACACACACACACACACACACACACCCTATAGACATGACTTTTCCTCCAACATCCATTGGGCATTTATAGAAATTAGTCATATATTATTAGCACAAATTAAAATGCCAATTAATTTCTCAAAGTGGAAACCATACAGACCATATTTTCTGGCCACGATGTAAAATGAATGGCTTATTTATGTGCACATACATGAAATAAAAAGCTAAAGAGAAAAATCAAAAGTGTAATTACAGAGCATTTAGAAATGAATGCAAATAAAAAATAGCTACTTAATGTGGTTAAAGCTAAACTCAGAGGAAGATTCGTAACCTCAGATGATTTTTTTTTACTTCAGTGAAAATAAGGGTTAATAAAATAAGTACATAGGCTTTGAGAAGCTATAGAAGGAAGAAAAATTTCTCCCATGTATAGAAAAAGGTGAAATTAGGAGGGTAACCCCAGAGCCTGAGTAAGTGATGCGAATGGAATGATTCTAATCACAACCACCATTGCTCTTGAAAATAGGTCTTTTACTTTTCCAGGCTGCATTTTAAAGGCTTCAGTACATCCAAATTTCCATGAAGACATGGAAGGTGTTCAACAGCTATTTAAATTTGACAAGATGATATAAAACTCTACCAGTCTTTCAATTTTAAAAGGGAACTATTAAAATAAATAGCCATTATCTTATTAAACTTTCAAGATAGATTAGAAGTTTGTATTACCCACAAAAAAGATTGAAGACTGTTTAAAATGCCATATTGGAAGCTAAGAAAGAATACATTCTAAGGGTCAAAAACACCAGGTGTTGAACAAAACACAACAGAATGGCAACTGAGAAAAATCTCAGTGATGGTTAGAGGGTGTCATTTACTAGTTTTGATTTTCTATCCAAGTTATTTTTAAGGGTCTTTGTTTTGTGATAAATTTGTGAAGCACACCTGCTCGCTGAGTTTCCTGGGGATGTTATTTTGGGGAATGTTGAACTTTTATTCCCAGATCTATACCAGCCTCGTCCCTGCTTGTCTGTTAGCATGTGCTAAAGCTTTCAGACCACAGCAAAACTACTCTTCTTTCCAAGTTTTCTAACCCTGGAATATATAGATTCCCACTTTCTCCTACTCCCTTATAATTTCAGGTTCCAGAGCAGATGTTCTTTCAAGGCTTAATTATCAATATGATTGTGTGCATTTGTCCTTTTCAGTACTTCATAAGGATCCCAGTGAAATGTAGGGAGAGAGGATATTAGGAGCCTTGAGATTATTATGATTCTATATAATATAAGAACTCTCTACGGCAGAGCTTTCCCAACTATATTTCCTGGAATGGGGGCTAAGCAGTTCTCCATAGTTCTAAATCCACTTTTTGGAATATCCATCATGAGAATTAGCAAATGAAAGACTCTGAGAAGTTCTGAGTAAAGAAGTCAGGTAACTTAAATAAAAGCTTCTGTTGGAGCATGCAGTTACAGATTTTTTTTTTTTTTTTTTTTTTTTTTTTGCCTGGACCTGCCTGGAGGCACTGTAGTTAAGGGCAGGCCAGTAGATTTCCTTCCTGTGTCTCTTCTCTTTGAAGCAGCTAGACACTTGAACCAGTTTTTGGACATCAGGGGTGATTTTTCTTTTTCTTTTTCTTTTTTTCTTTACCAGACTATCTGCATGTGTGATCTTCCCATCAAAAGTTTTCCCTTTAATAACAAAGAGTATTAACTCAAGTAAGCTCTTAGCATGTATCATTTATTATTCTATTTGTAGCTTTAAATATGTAACCCAGATTTTGAATTCTTCTGGGAGTGGGTGAGTGGGGGATGTGGGCATGCATGCATTTGGTGTATAGTTGGGAAGGAAGAATAGTCTATGAGGTCAACACTACTGGTAGCCATGTGGAATCTAAACGTGGGCTTTCTTTGCAGTCCTACTGCCCACATTAGGGTGCCACAGATAACCTGCTAGGGATGGGGTGAAGGAAGTTCTATTCTGAACTTTTTGGAGCCCTGAGGAATATTCAATCAATTTTCATTTCAAATTTTCCAAGATAGAAGTAAGTCCTTCAGCACTAGTGGTCAATGTAGGGCATAGCTTCCCTGGTACAATTAGGTATGTGTCATCCCTTGGCTGGTGGCAGGGGCAGGAGAAGAGGAAGCACAAGGATCTTCCTTCACACTCTACCTAGTATTCCCAGACGCACTTTTTTTCTTTAAATTCTTTTCCCTTCTTCCCTGTCCTCTCATCAGTGGTTACTCTTGGGGTCCTCACCTCATCTCCATTCTAGCCACTTCTTCTTTTTTTTTTAAGAGAGAGAGAGAGAGAGAGAGAGAGAGAGAGAGAGAGAGAGAATTTTTTTAATATTTATTTTTTAGTTTTTGGTGGACACAACATCTTTATTTTATTTTTGTGTGGTGCTGAGGATCGAACCCAGCGCCCCGCTCATGCCAGGTGAGCGTGTTACCACTTGAGCCACATCTCCAGCCCTAGCCACTTCTTGAGTCTTGGAAATCTTAAGGCTCTGGTAGGTCATAACTATCTTTGTTCTTGTCATTTCTGGAGATGCATAGGGGAATTCTGATTGCTAAAATCTGTGTGTGTGAGAACCATCCCTGGCCATCTTTAGGGAACACTAGACATCTTGCATTCAGAGAGTTAACTGCTTGCATATACTTGATGATTGCAAAGATTTTGGGTCTCATTGTGTCTTTGACTCAAATGACAAAGTCCTGTTCTAGTGACCTTTTTTTTTAAAAAAAAATTTATTTGTTCTTCTTACTTATACATGACAGTAGAGTCTTTTTCACATATTTATACAAACATGGCATATATTTTATTCTAATTATAATCCCAGTCATGGGGATGTACATCATGTTGAGTTTCACTGTGGTGTATTCATATATGTACATAGTAAAGTTGTGTCAGATTCATTCCACCGTCTCTGTTTAACAAATAACTCTGAAACTTGGTGACTAAAAAAAATATCCTCCCTATTTACCTTGCTCATAACTCTGTAGTGTGTGCAGGGTTCGGCAAAGATGATTCATAGTTACTATACGATGTCTGGGACCTCAGCTGTTGAAAGGTGTGCTGTCTTCTCTGGGTCTTTCTTGCATATGGCCTCAGGGTAGGTAAACTTACATGGGGTCTCAGCGAGTGTTCCAGAAGATCAAGGCAGAAGTTGCAAAGATTTTTTTTTTGACCTCACACTGAAGTCATGTAGTATCACCTATACTGTATTTCATTGGCCACCTGAGATCAGCCCTGATTCAATCTGGGAAGAGGCTACACAAAAGGAAGAACATCAGGAGGTAGGTATCATGGGGAACCATCTTGGAGGCTGGACACTACAGTCTCCTTCCATTCAACTTAAAAAGGCAAACTGATGTTTTAAAAATGCAAATTGGACACCATTGTACTAAAAATAATTCCCTGGATATGGCCCAGAAAGAAGAGATCAGGACACATGTTTTCTATGCTCCTTCCAGCCACTGTGTTGTCTTTATTATATGGAAAATTCAATTAGAGGCAAAGAGCATTGATACTCGGCATTCACTGTTACAGAAAGGCAGTTGTGTGGGCTTTCAAAGAATCCATTTTGACTCTATCCACCTGGGTTTGCCTGTTGTTTCAGAAAGGGAGGAAACTCTGGATGCTGGCTTTAAAATGAGAGTAAGGCATCCAAACTACTGTGAAACCAGCAGCCACCCCATCTCAGCTCCCAACTTCATGCTGAGCAGTAGCAAAAGAAATAAATGGAGACTAATGATGCTTTGGTTTGAGAAATAATGCTTACATGCACAGGATGCATCCACTTAAGTCTTTTAAAAACCAATTATTCTAATGATTTTATTGCTCTGTAACAAAATAAACCAAACTGACATTGATTCCAAGGTCATTGTGAATTGAAGTTTAACCATGTGAATGACTTCTAGGATGCAAGTGTGAACGCTAGGAGGAGGCTTGAGGAGGAAGGCATCACAGTATATTGTATTCTTGTAAACATTAGTACAAGTACAGAGTAATAGAGATTCTAGACTCCCCTTGATGATGCTAAATAGGCCCCAAATTCCTCTGCTTTCAGAGGGATGAAGCATTAAGGATTCCTTTCTATTGTATGCCTGCTGGGGTATGATATACTGACCTAAGAAAAAATGCGTTCCAATTTCTTCTAATATGCTGTTATTGGTTCCCCTCCCTGTTCCTGGTTCCCTGCAAGATGAGCTCCACCTCCAAAATAGATTCCTCCAGGATGGCATAAGGGGAAAATGCTGTCCCCAATACAGAGGCTATAAAATGAAAATGGATGCTTTTCTCCACATTCTCTCTCCCAGATCCCTATCCTTTGGGAAAGGACTTTATAACTGAAAGGACTGTATCATCCTCAATAAATAAGGGATTTTTGTCCCCCTTACCCCCAATGCTCCTCGCTGCTTCTATCTGTGCCTCAGATCTGGTTACCTCTATTGGTAACCAGAGCAGCCAGGACTGCCTGTAAGCAGCCCTCAGATCTTTGCCATTGGTGCCAGGTCAACTCAGCCCTCACATCTGATGCACGTCACCAGGACTGCTGGGAGGATTGAGGAGAAGGAATAATCCCTGGAACGCTGGGAGCTGGAGTCTCCACAGAGAGACTGACTGCTTAGAGTCTGAAGTGTGATGATGCTGATTGGGCAGTACTGGGGACAAAGGTCTGGAACCAGAACAACACTCGGTTACACAGAACTGAACCTCGCGCTGGGGCCACACCATAGACTGGAGCACCCTCCAGCCGGATGACTTATACCACACGGGCAGGGAAGGAGCCGAGTCCTGGGGCAGCTGTGGCCTAGGGCCCTGCTGCCCCCCAGGTATGCTGGCCGAATCTCAGCCTCATCCCCACCTCTAGCAGCCTGGATGCGCTTTGTGTTGGGCCCTCTGCTGCTCTACAGTCTCAGATCCTCCAGTCTTGTCTCCCTGTTTCCGGGGTGGGGGGCCGGGTCAGTGCGACAGCTCCTCTGGGTGGACACAGTGAGATGAGCAGACGGCATCGGCATCACAGCAGAGCTGGTCTGCTGCACAAGGAGGAGGGGTCAGCAATCAGACATTTTCCAGGACATTGAGGGGGACAAGGCCTCTCTTCTTTCCACTGAGCACTCTGATAAAGCCGTCTTGTTCTTCTTCTGAAGTCACACAGATCTGAGGTCCCAGGAAGAAGAAACAAAAGACTAGTGTCAACAGGAAAGAAGCAAGAACCTGCAAGTCACTGCTGCTTGAGGTCATGGGAACACCAAACCAGGAGCAAGAAGGGCTCAGGCAGGGTGATGGTGGAGTGTGGGGGGAAAAAAAAATGTAAACAGTGTATCTCAACATCATGTACATCCACAAGACTGGGATCCTCATTAGAGTAAGATATATTCCATGTTTGTATAATGATATCAAAATAGATTCTAATGTCATATACAACTAAAAAGTACAAATAAAAATTTAAAAAAATGATAAAGACCATCAGCCCAGTTTCCACACATACACACCAAAGTTAGGTGAAAATCTGGCTTTGGACCTAGGGTGGGACAGTAAATATTTTCTGGGATTCAGTTTTATGAATGAGGATCAATAAAATGGAGCTTAACTATACTGTGACAGAGTGAGAAAATAAAATACTAATTACAGAGGCTGGCAAGTGGAGTGCAAGTTCTTCATACATTATTTTAAGGAACCAAAATGATAGCTGTCATTCAGAAGGTTCCTATCATGTGCCTGGAATTTTATAGGTGCCTCATATAATAGCAGGAAGTCAAAGACAAATATTTCATTTCTATCTCCAGGCAAATAGACAGTAATATCTCCTGTATTCCAAAATAAGGCATCTGTGTTTGACTTAACAAGTTGGTGGCAAAAACCCACTTGGGGACCTTTGACACTCACCACTTGCGGCTCCTGAAGGGCACATAGAGGTGGATGTAGCCAGGTGTAAATTAGAAGAGGTTTTTGAAGAGAGCTGTCAGTGTGTTGTGAATGGCTCCCACCTGACCTGCTTCTGTGGGTGGGGAGCTCTGTCTTAGGTTGGATTCCCAAGAAACAGAGCTGAAGATAGGGAACCTTGTGCAGTGACTTACTGAGACGGTGCTCTTAGGAGATAGGATGAGAGGGCAGCAGGATGGGACGAGGGAATGAGTCAGGCAAGGATGTAGACTCAGCGGGGGATGATTCTGGCCTCACCTCACATGGGCTCTGGAGCATGGGTTGCACCACAGTGTGATCTCACTTTGAAATAGGGGGTCTGACCTTTTGGGCCCCATGCCAGTAAGTCATTGGCCACTGGCTGATGTGGGACATGAGAGGCCCATCCTACAAGTGGGGCCTCATTGGAGAAGGTAGAAGAGTGGTTAGCAGCCAATACAGCAACTGGGATATGGGTGAAAGGATATTAGTGAAAGGGATGTGGGCAGGGGCCCAACAGCCAGAGTGGGCTATTCTTGTCACAAAGAGCAAGGGGCTTGAATAGGAAACTTAAAGAGCTTGATTTGTGAACTCTGGGGCTTAGGACACACGATGGACTGGTATCTAAGTCATGTTGTTTTGGAAATCTGCTGTGTAAGAAACTTCATGGGAAAAAGGTTTCAGACAATTTAGGGAGCTAATTGGTAAGAGCAGAAAATAGCTGTTTCACCAAGACCAGATGTGGGTTATGCGTGAGAGAAATAGCCCAGGGGTCATGTTGGATCATGCCAGATCCTGATTGGGTAAGTAAACTCCCCAAAGAAGGTGTACCACCCGAATTTCAAAAGCTGAGACCTGTCATTGCCCGTGCCAGAAACACAGCAGGGGAGAGACCCTGTGATGGGCAGAGAGCATATGACCTGAAAGAATCCACAAAACTTGCTTCAAGAGAAGGATTTACCTTTAATGTCTCTTGCCAAAGAGTAGATCTTTTTTCTTACCAAAGTGTGCCCAAATCCCACCATCCTAAGGATAAGTCTAGCCAGTCAGCAGCAATGAGAACTGGAACGTCTGCCCACTTGTGCAGGCTGTTCTATGTGCTTACTGAAAATCTGTTCAATTTAAATATTGGGTATGATTGTACATCTTGGGTACAGCTGGGAATACAGACATTCACTGAGAACCTCACCGATAATGAGTGCAAAGGCCAGATCGGCTTTGTTCACTGATTATCACTGTGGAGAAGGCTTACAAACCGACAATAAAAAAAGCAATTAACATTTTTTGAATGGATTCATGTAGGAAAGGGCGCTAATGGGAAAACACATGTCAACCTGATGTAGCCTAGGTGATAAGAAAGACTTTTTTAAAGAAGTAACATTTAATCAGAGAGAGAGGGGGAGGGCCGGGTATTGTGGAAAGGAAGAAAATGAGAATACAATATGAATAAATTCTAGTATCAAGAGACTTTAGAACTTTGGAGTAATTGAAAAAGTTCAATGTAGCCACAACAGAGAGATAGAAGGGATGAGAGGTATCAGAGGAAGCCAGAAATGCTGTCAGGGTCTCAAATGTGCAGGAAATGCAAGCCATGCTAGGCTCTGCCAAGCTCCTTAGCTCATCTTCTGATCTATCTCATCGACTGGAACTGGGTTGCAAGCCAACTACTGAAATAATCACTGACAAAAAAGAAGGAGACCACTTCAATCAATTCATTTAGGATTGCCAGAATCATGTAAGATCTAGGTGGAGAGCAGAATAAAACTGGGCAAAGGGCAAACATGACTGTTGGTATTAACTAGTAGGGCATTAAAAGGGTTTTAAGTGGAGAAATGAGATGCAAAATTTAATTTAAAACACTTTTTTTTCACCTTCTCTCCCAGTCCTGCCCCTCCTCTCCTCTTTTCTTCTCTTGCCTCCTGTTCTTTCCCCACCCTCCCTTTTTCTCTCTAGCCAGAAGATTTCCTAAGGCCAAGACAAATTTTCTTCCCATACCGCTAAATCCTAACCTGGTCAGCAAGCAGTGCAGACCCAACATGGGTGCATCAAGTATGCAGCAGCAGTGAGCTGGATACCTCAGTTCCAAAATAGGTAGCGCATGTACAGAGCAGAGGCATCCCCACTCATGGTACACCATCTCCAGGCAGCCCAGTGCTTGCCTACCCTCAAGCTCAGCTATGCATCTGAGATGTTGCTTTCCTAATATGGAACAGAGACACTTCATGGTCTTCTGACTTTCAATGACCCCATTTCTTTCTAAATCTTGTTTCCCAGAGCATAGACTCTTCCCTTGATTGGAGGTCCCTGTTTTGGAGTTAAACTTTTAACAGTTAATGCTCAATCTTGATCTTCAAGTCTTTATTATTATTATTGTTATTATTATTATTTTAAAAACACTCATGTCTCTACTGTGATTTTTCATTGTGATGGACACTAAACTAGACTCAGACTAATCCACACATCTTTTCAGCTGGGAAAATTTAGTTCTGCATTGATCACTGTTTGTTCTAGTGAAACTAGAGAAATGGGGGTGGACTATCTACTAAATAGTCCCCTAAAAAGAGGTGCATTAAGAAGAAAATCTTTTTCCTTTTCTGAAAGGGATTCATCGAGTGCCTGCAGCATTTGAGATCTGTGGCAGAGGTGGCTAACATCTCAAGAATAACAGAACAAAAGGGTTGAAGAATTTAGATCCCTGACCATGTAATCAAGGCCGCCGAATTACTAACTCACAAATCACCCGGTAGTAGACCCCACTGAGAGTGAATCAGTTTGAGTTTTGCAACCTAAGGTATGGATTCATTTGCAATTAGTGTCATAACTCGTTACCATAAACATAGTCACATTAAATAAATAAATAATGTTGTTATATTAGTGCTTTAGGTCTTATTTCAGTGAGTTTGGCTGGTTTTGCCGCTCTGGGCTTCACAGGGCCAGAATCAAGGAGTCAAGAGGGCCCTATCCTTCTGTTTCCTATTTGTCTAGGAAAGGATTCAATTCCAGGCTCATTTCAGTTGTTGCTGAGCTCAGTTCCTGGTGGATGTAAGAATGAGATATGTTTCCTTTCAAGCTTCAACCAGTGGCCATCCAGCCTCAGCTTCTAGGCACAGCCTGCATGCCCTGGCTTGTGGCCCCTTCCTCCATCTTTAAATCCAGTAATGATGTGTTGAGTTGTTTCTCTCACTTACCCCTGTGTTTCTCTTCTCCTTTGCTCTTTTCTGTTGCATCTCCCTGCCTCAACCAGGCACACTTCTAGGTTTATAAGGGATCAAGTGATCAGATCTGGCTTACCTAGACAGTCTAGGCTAGCTCCCCATCTGAGAGCCCACAACCTGAATCACATCTGCAGAGGGCCTTGCACATGAACTAGGGGTTGGTTTTCTGTTACTGCTGTAACAAACTGTCACAGATTGGGTGGCTTTAACAAACAAACAAAAAAGGTTTCCTCTTGCAGTTCTGGAGGTCAGAAGTCCCAAAATCAAGGTGTCAGCGGAGCCATATTCCAGCCCTAAAGGGTCTCAGGGGATGCGTTTTCACGTCTTGCTCAGCTTCTGGAGTCTCCCTGTGTTCCCTGACTCACAGATGCTTCCTCCATCTTCACAGCCATCTTCACCTCTCTCTCTGGCTTCCACTGTCACATCTCCTCTGGCCTTCTTGTCTTCCTCTTGTAAGAACCTTTGTGATGATATGGAGCTCACCCAGATGATCCAGGATAATCTCTCCATCACAAGATCCTTAACTTAAGCACATCTACAGACTTCTTTTTGCCACATAGGAAAACAAAAGTTTTATGCGTCAGGAGATGGGCAGCTTTGGGGAGCAGTTATTCTGTCTATCATAAGATGAAAGCACCAAAAATATTGCAGAAAATAAGCACTTATGTCCTAAAAGACAACTCATTCTTTGATGAAGTGGGTTGAAGAAAGACTTGCCCTCCATGAGATGAGGGAAGAATTTCTTAAGTTGAAGAGATGATCTAATAAAATGCAAAGAAATATGCTGTATCCAATTGGGGGGGGGGGACTGAGAAGACTACAAGGAAGTAAGGACCACATTAAATCTAGAAGCAACGGAAGATTGATCTGTAACTTTGGAAAATTAAAGTGGAAACTATCTTGAAACATTCTCTTAGGAGGAGGGGAGAGATAACAAGTGAAAAATGATAAAGAGAATAAACCTATAAGGGAAATATGGTAAAACAGAGATGATTTAACCGAAGAATTGTTAAGCCTCTGAAGGTTGAAGCACTAAGATCA